GGGGAGGGGGAGGAAATGGAAGAGGAGGGTAAAGGGCGGGAAGGGGGAGCACTCCGATCCGGTGCGCACCGGTGCTGTCGGGATACGGTGGAACCGGCGCGGGGGTGGGAGGGGTCTGGTCGGACGAGGAGGGGCGGGGTCTGGTGGGGCGGGGTGAGGCAGTGTTGTGGTGGTGGGGTGGGTTGGGGATGAGAGGCTTTAGGCGTGACTGACCGTGTCTACTTCCCAGGGGGACTCCGGGACACTGCCACTCTGCTCGCCGAGACGTGAGCGGACGTCACGCGGAAACAAAAAGAGAAAGAGAAAGGGAGAGGGCACAAGAAACAGAGGGAAAGAAAGAGATGGATAATGGACAGATTCGGAGGAAAAGAAGAAAACGCTATCGCAAAGTGTTTTAATCGAGCAAACACATAACCTGGAGTGTGAGTGTGTGACCGGGAGAGACAGGGATAGACAATGGGAGAGAAGAGAGAACACACGAAAGTGATACAAAGTGGTTCGGAAAGAGAAGAAAGAGAGAGAGGGAGAGGAAGAACAGATAAGTACATAAGAAGTAACGGCGGCATGTGCGTCGGCGAACCTGCGTAAGCAGCAGGGTGAGTCAACAAACAAGTCCCCACGAGGTTAGGTTCTGCTGCCCTGCGGGTGATTCGACGGGGAATAGACCCCCTCTGAAATTCAGAGGGAGCCCCGATTATTTTGACGTACGACTATGGTACAGTAAATGAACATTTACTAGCGTGCCGACTTTGTGCACAAGCATTTTCCCTGTAAATAAGCAAACCGATTTCAAACTTTTCGAACTGACCGAAATAAAATTCGAAACTTTATCGAGTATGACACCTTTCATTTTCTCGGAAAGAACTCAAAGGAAAGCCCGATCGATTTACCATAAGACCTGCTCAAGGAAAATGCGGGCAGAAGCCCGCCGGTAGCGCTACAGCGCAAAAATATACAGCGCTCTGCCGCTCGCCGCTCGTTGCCGGCCGCGCTCCGCCCAGTGCCGCCCAGTGCCGCCCGTCAGCCTGACGAGCTCGGCATAGGCCACAAAACAACACCCCTGCTCGACGGGGTTGCCTACCCTCCAGGTGCTAGCCGAGCCCGGGCCGCCAGCCGGCCCGCCCGGCCCTGCTGTGGCAGTCGGCCCACATACGGCTCCCCCATCCCCAAACAGGGCCCCCCGCACCCGCATGCCGCCAGCCCTTCCCCACCACAACATACCCAATTCTCGCGTCTGGGAGAGAAAGAAAAGCTAGGGTGCCAAAGGAGGCGACAAACGGGCGGACGGACAGCAGCGCTGCAGGGCGTCAGCAGAGGGCACTCTTGGGCGTCCCGCGAGGAGGTGTGAGGTGAGGCGGGGCGGGCGAGGCCTGATTCGGTCAACGGCAACCCCAGCCAACCTTCTCCTCGACTGTGCCTCTTTTTCGTCCCGCCGCCAACAATCTGTTAATTTTCACACGAACAAAAAGTGGATACCTAGAGTAATGAACCAACTGTAAGGCAGGGGCAGGGCTGACAGGAGACTCCTCTATCTAACTAAGAACGACTCATACGAGTGAGAGAGTGCGAATGGCAACAAAGTGAGTCACGTAGCCGAGGGCCCTGCCCTGCTCTAGCTCCTACGATGGGGTCTAAGGTGGGGCCCTGGGGCCGTGCCAGCCAGTCGGGGCCTCTCTATGTGCCGCCTAGGCAGCCTAGGCCACCCGCCGCTGCTGACGCGGTGGCTGCAGTTGTCGCCGGGGCGGCCGCGCTGCGCCGTGCAGCGCGGAGCGGCCTGATGGCCTAGTCGCCTTGACATTGCTGTATCAGCAAGAGCTGCTCAGCTGGCGCGCCTGCTGCCCCCCATCGCGCCGCTTCCCCCGCCCCGCCAGCCAATACAACGACACATCTTGCGATTATTATTCGTCGATCGCTTAATGTTTGTTGCGTCTGCGAGACGTGCGAGGGCGAAAGGGGAATGTACACACATGTTGAGGTCAATGGTGTCGAAGTTACATTTCTGTCGTTTTCGGCTGACAACAATGACAACTCGGTGTCAGCAGGCCCGGTAGCAGCCTGAATTCCGATCTCATGTTTGATTACCACGTTGGTATCCGCGCATCAGCTGAAGGTTGGCGCAGGACACTATTGACGACGACGACGATCTTTGGAAAGACTTACGGAGTCTTCCGCTAATTTAGATAAACACCCTCAGTTGCGCAACCAGCAGAGCAACGCGATGCGACGCCACGCGTCGCGTTGTCTCGCGAGTGGCCCAATCGCGACCGTCTTTTCTTTAACTCATCGTCGCCCCCTCCCCCCTTCCAAAGTATAGGATAGGGTATTTATTGGTGATCCCTGCTCAGTGTTTTGTTCCATCTGCCTTCGGTGTGTTTTCTTCTTACTCTGGGAATTCCTTGATCAGAGCGACCCGAGCAAGAGAGATAAGGGGGAAAGGGGGTGGGGGTACTACACGAATTGAATTACTTTGTGTGACTAACAGGAAGTCATGCAGGACCAGGGCATGAGGAGGAAAGGGGGAAGGCGGTGGTCGGGTAGCCAGCCACCTTATCTCGAAATGTGCCGACATAAGCCTATGCACGCTCCGCACTTCGAGGCCTCACTTAAAAACAAAGAGGGGTAAACAGTGGGACTGCTCACTGCTCCACCCCCGCGTTGTTGTCACGGGTCGATAACGATATCAATTATCGTGCACAGAGCGGCAATCTCAATTGGCAGGTTTTACTCTTATTAACGATGTAACGCGCCTTTTGCTGATTCGCAGAATTTCGTTTGCTGTCTATGTCGCATTAAAAGTCTCCTTTTTAAAAAGTTTCGTTTCTGATAAGAAAAGTCCTTTATCAAGTTGGGGAAGTCCTCTTGTCGTGTTCGGGGTCACGAGGCTCGGGCGCCCTGCCCGCGAACAGCGACGACCGCAGCACCACAATGATGAGGCCCTTCAGGGAAGACCCCGACAAAAGGTTATCCCGCGCGGCCACGCCAGGTCCTGCCCTGCACTGGCCCGGCCTTGAGCGGGGCATCCCCTGGAGACGAGAGGAGATTATCCGTCTGCATAGGAGGAGCCCCTCCACCTCCAGCGGCCGCAGTAGTGGCGTCAGCAGCGTCAGCGTGGCTGCACTGCAGTGCTGCGCCGCGGAGAGGACGGGAAACCAACCCCTTGCGATTCCCCCTCATACATCCTGCCAAAAGAGTCGCGGAGACGGGGGAAATAAAAGAGAGGGGACCATCGGGCGGGAGAGGGAGGGACGAGGGCAGATAGCTGCTCCCGTACGTGCAGGCTGCGCTGCCCGTGTGGTACAGTCCCTGACAAGGACGGCTAGATTATGTCTAATTTGCCCGCCCCGTTATGTTGTGCGGGCCGGACTCTGCAGTCGTCGCGCAAAAAGACGAAACCGCAATACTCGCTATTTTTCCTCATGGGTGATCGGGCTCGAACGAGAGGCTTGTGTGGGAGCGAAAACTTGGTTCTTTTGTGTCCAGAGCGGTTATCAGCGGGTGTGTACTTGGCCGCGGCACGGGCCGCGCGCCTGCGCGCCAAGGGCCGAGTGGCCACGTGACCGCCGGGTGGAGGGTGTGGCGCCGAGGGCCGGGGGCGGGAGCGGCCGGAGGGTTGGGAGGGTGGCGAGGGAGAAGAAGAAAGAGACAAAAAGCACCCGGAGCGCTGGGTGCGGGTAGGGCCGGGCAGCGGGCCGGGCGCAGATGGGTACCGTCTACGAGGGGTGGCGCGGGGGCGGGGCGCAGGGCCCCTGGGTGCAGGGGTGGGTGGCGGCGCTGGGCCGGTGGGGCTGAAGGGGGTGGCGGGGGCGGCCGGCCGAGGGCGAGGGGGCGGCGGGGCGTGGGCGAATCGATGTGACGTCAGGCTCGCGAGGGGCTCCGGTAGGGCGGCGGTGCTCCGGAGGGGGCTCAAGGGGTGGCCGAGGCCCGAGCCGAGCCAGTTGACGCGGAGACCGCGGAGCGCAAGGCGCCGGACGGCCACGCGATGCACGTGGAGCGGCAACCAGTGCCGCGGCCAGAGCCCCAAACAACAACGGGGTGAACATCACCAGCAGCAGCAGCAGCAGCAGCAGCAGCTCCAGTCCGGGACGAGCGTCGCGCGGACCCCGCGGACCCGTCAAACCACCAGACAGCCAGCTGAGCGGACAGGCAGGCAGGCAGGCAGGCAGCCAGGCAGTCGGGCAGCCCGCCGAGCAGGCAGGCAGGCAGCCGTCAGACGGGCCGACAGCCGGCCGAGCCGTACGGCCGAGCCGTACACTGTACAGGACCCCAACCCCGTCCCGCCCGTTTATAAATAGGCGCGCGCCGCACGGAGTCGTCACTTCGGGTCGGACTTGCTCCGCGAGCAGCCGACCGGTGCAGAGCGCCCAAGCTTCCCACAGCTGACAGGCGTCTTTTTCCTCCCCGTCTAGTGGATATTGTTTATGGGTGAGTACTCTTCTGTTTGTGTTTGTGTTTTGGTCCAGCCTTCCCCACCGACGCCTCTGCTTCCGGTGGACCCTCCGGAGCGCGCGTCCTTTGTTCCCCCTGAGGCCGCGGGAGCCGCGTGGTGACGGTCGGCGTCGCGCCTCACGCGGCCGGACTCGTGAGCCCGCGCGTTATCTGTCGTCCACGCCTCGCGAATCTCCTCGATATCGTTGCCCGCGCAGCAACAACGCCCGTCCCGATGACTGCCGCTTTTTATTAGCCACGTGATTTAATTCCCCAGGGGGTCGGGAGAGAGTTGCTTAACTCGGCGATATCCCGATACCGCCTTTGCACGTGACCGCGCGATGAGAAACTTTGACGCGGGCCTCTGCACTGCGGGGGCTGCAGGGCAGGAGGCGCCCCCCGACCGCGACTTGGAACCTGGCGGCGGCCCTACCGGTCAACGGCCGCGGGGCACCCCCAGAGGCACCGCGGCCAATGATGATTGATCTGACTCAACTCTTTTGTTTTGGGGTCTTTTGTTTCCTCGGGTCTGTTGCCCCTCCGCTCGGGGGCTTCAATGTTGCGGGGGTCAGAGCGCCGCGGCCGCGCCGCCAACGCCGCGTACTGGGTAGTAGTATCGTCGAACGTAACCGCGATGATCGCTCGTCAGTTTGTGTCGGGGAGTATGTAGGAGAGACGTTGTAGGGAAGTGCGGCAACTCAGCTGCGCGTCGACGTCACATTGTGCATGGCGCGAGAACGTCAGAAGGGCGAGCGCGGGTTTCTCCACGAAAGGAGAGGAGAGGGGGAGGAGGGGGGGGGGAGAGAAGGCGAGAGAGCGAGGGGAAGGCACGCGCTCCGCGAATGAATGAATCACACGTAGATGAATCACCATCCGGCCGCGTTCGTCGTGAACTAGTGGAGCGTGGCGGTGAGGATTGCTCGTCAGCAAGGGGCTGTGGAACACCAAACTATTTGTTTGTGCCCGGGGGTGGGGGTGGATGTCACAAACGGACGAGGGCGCCGCCTCTGCTTGCGCAAGTTGCCTGCTCCCCTCTGCGTGCCGAGGCGCTGCTGAGTGGCATCGTCGTGGCCCACCCCCTTCAGCTTCAGCGAGGCTTCTTCCAGCTCCTCCCTTTCACCCCCTGAGGCGGACCCTCCGTTTCTGCCGCGACTGTATGCCGACCCGATTCCTGACGAACCACTTTATGTCTGCCTTACAGATCTGGAGGAGCTCGTCATAGCGGAGCCCCCTGTGGAGCCTATCAGCAGCTACAGGGATGAGTCGGGCTACGTACCTCTCGTCGGCCGGTGGGGCAACGAGTGGCCGAGTTGACTCGAGACGACATGGCGCAATGACTCTCCGCTGATCGGGGAGTCGGGAGGGGGCTGGCCCCCGGGCCACCCTCTTCCGCTCCCCCAATGGGACGACCCCGGATGGGGCCCTTCTCCGACCCCGGAGCACCCCGTTGAGGGGCGCGCCGGGCGGGGGCCCGGGCAGGTGCTCGGGACGGGGCCTACCGGCCGGGGGAGACCGCCGGTGCGCGTGGCGAACGTCGTGGACTATGAGGACCTGGCGGCGCGCGTCGAGCACACCACCCAGCAGCTGCTGCGCGACCACAACTACAACACCGTGGGCAACTTCCTCAGGTAAGTCTTTTACTTGCTTCCGCAGGACGCCACAGGCCTGACCTTTGTCGTGCCCGCCCACGGGGCATCGATCTGTCGCGGCGCCTGGCGACATATCCGCCGAGCGTGATCGGGCCGTCACTGGTCGATGGGCCTGTCTCGTCCCATGTCGTGCCGTGTCCTCGGCGCCGACCTCACGCCACCCTCTTTACTTCCGCAGGTTCTACTCGGCGTACTCGCAGCGCAAGGACCGCGACGTGAACCGCCTGTTCCGCGAGTACCGGCCGCCCATCACCGCGGCTCACCACACCTGCGTGGGGCTGGGCCTCACCCTGGTGCGCCAGCTTGGCGCACTCGGCCGCGCCGGGCTGCGCGACGCCCTGCACCTCGTGTCCTGCGAGGAGGCCATCGAGAACCCGGCCGCCTACCTGAGCGCCGCGCCCGACGCGAGCACGGCTGAGAAGGAGCACGTCCTGGTGTCGGCCCGCCTGGACATCGGAGGCCGAAAGGGCGTGCTGCTCCTCGACCCGGGCTACCATGTCGCCCGGGTGGTCACTGTCATGGAGGACGGAATGTACCCGCACACCGGTTAGTAAAGACCCCATCTTGGCGTTATAGTGACATTTTCCTGAAAAACTTCATCTAACCTACACCACCCAATCTTCCCCACAGGATGGTTCACGCAGTCCGACGAGCCGGAGGTGCGCCGTGAGTACATGTACACGCTCTCGCCCGACGGCAAGTACGTCCTGTGGACGGTGCGGGAGACGCGCGGCGAGCGTCAGAGCGTGTCCGTCAACCTGGTGTACATCGAGCGCGCGTACTTGTCCGCCGTAGACGTGACCGAGCGCAGAAACATCGCCTACAACTTCCGCAGCCTGCTGGCGAGGAACACCAAGGGCCAGCTCACGGCGGGCGTGTACTTCCCTCTGGCGATCGTGACTGCCGAGGACGGCCCTGCTTGCACCATCTTCTACACCGAGGTGAAGGAAGGGGCCAGCCTCAAGCGCAGGGTCAAGATTCCTTTCCGTCATCTGCTTGACCAAACGCAGGCAAGTAATCCCTCGAAAAATGATAATTTCCTTTGTACTTTCACAGCCGATCGTTTTGGTCAGGAAGTATAATCACAGTTCTAATCTTTCTGTCATGCTCACACAGGAACTGAGTGTCGAACAAGAGCTGGCGCTCATTTTATGCAGCCAACAGCTCGGGATGCATGATGATCAACTTGAACAAGTCCTGACAAAGGTTGCCTCCGTAATGGCTGATACTACATTCATGAAGCAAATCTTAGACATAAACAACGCCATTGAAGAAATGTCTGAAGAAAACTAGGGCACAAAAAAATGGAATTGGGGCATAAGTATTTTAACACGGGTTTATATGGTTCAAGTATCCTGGTAACTAGAAATAATATGAGCACAGTGAACGGTAGTCACTTATCTTTCCATTCCTTGGGGTATTTTTAATTTATTTGCTTATTTTCATTATTACACTTAGTGGCAAAGAGGTACCAAAGCATTGAGTGAGATTATTATACTTGTTTTATATTTTGCTTGTGGAGCACAATTTGTATCTGTTCTTATTTTAAACTGCTTCTAATATGCTTTGCAATCTCTATTTTGATCAGAAATGAAAAGCATCACATGAGATATGCTGTTTTTCCATGATGTAATAAAAAAAAATATCAGTACAGAATGACAATTTTATTTCACTCCATATTATTATTTTTAAACACAGTTAATAAAAGCTGCTCTCACTTTTTAAGAGGTAATTTTCAAAAAGATAGTTTGTACACAGAAAACGTGAGCTGAAATTTAAAGAGGCAAGTTTTAGCTAGTACCCGACAAATCTTACAGAAAGAGAATTGGACATTTAGTTAGAGTTTCAATTTTGTAAGAGAGGCCATTATTCTTGGTAAGAGCACATTTACCCTATTAATTGAGACCATAAACTATAGGAATAAGTCATCCATAGGAGACCTGTAAACCTCTTAAATCCCTTTGCAGATTATTACCAGCTCAACACGAGCAATAAACTTCATCACACTCCACAGATTCATTTGATGTTTGAAAAGGGATGTAGAAGAAAATAATTAAGGCGAAATACTAACACAGTACTTCCTGTTCTTAGCTCTAATTACATTGCATAACTATCTATTGGGAAGTTATCACAATCATGACCTTGAGTAATTGTAACACTCACATTCCCTAAATTACCATAATTTACAAAGGTTTTTTTCAGTAGCATAATACAAATCTGTTCCCTTTAAGTCCAAATTTACATTCACTGACGTCTTAAAAGTTCAAAGTTCATTTACAGTTTTGTCTTTACCAAATACTGGGATCATATTAACAGTTCACACAACAGAAGAGATCTTGTGAGGAATTAAAACAAAAGCAGGCTGAACATTATTGTCCAGTTATCTTAAATAGTTTATAGCAAAATCATTTACTATTGCTTGTGCTCTCCCATACCAGAGCTGTGCAGACAAAGGTCCCAAACAACAGTTAACAAAAATCTAGTACATATATAATTAAAACACAAGGTGCACAGTACAACCTTGATACAAAGATATCATTTCATCAAACGTGACAGTTATAAGTTAGAGTACATGTAATATGGACGTCTAATATGGTTTCCTTGATTTATGGTGTCGACGTCTTTCTTCATAGTCATCCTCGTGATCCCGTTTACGTGAGCCCTCCTGTTGCTCTTGAATATGAGTGCGAGGTGTAGGATGGTACCGTTCACGCTCCCGTTGCTCTCTCTGAGAGTGAGAAGTTGTAGAGGGGTACTCAATAATAGGGCTTGCACTACGTTCTTCGCTTAGTGAGGCAGTATTAGCGTTATCTTCATCGTCATCAGTTACTTCTGTGATTTCCACTCTGTAAAAGATTAAAGCAAATTGGAGCCTGATTAAAGCAACTCAAATTGTGGAACATCAGTTTTGTTGGTTAGTAAGAACTTTTAAAAAGGTAAAAAAAGAAAAAAAAACAATTGCAGATGAATAAACATCGTTTAAGTTTTTGGAAATTATTCCCTTTGCCACAAACTAACAAGTCAAATCATTCTCTATCTACATTTGGTATGCAATTATGCAATATCAAATGAATTTTAGATTTAATTTCTGGCTGCAACAGCTTTGAAAACCTGTTAGAATAGCTAACCAAAGCTTACATTGAAGACACTGGATAAATACCGCAGATTCGACAAATATAACGGATAATTGTTTTACTCCTACAAGAAAGCAAAGCAAAATTGATTGCCAATGCAATCAGATAAGTGGGAAGAATGATACTAAATGAAAAAATGGCTAGGATATGAAAATTATGAGTGGTGAACAAAGAAAGTCTAAGCATTCAGCTTCAGTGCGAGGGGTGTGGCATTGGCCAGCTACCACACTCGTACTTACATGGCAGCTAGACTTTAACACCTCTAAAACTTTAATGCACATCAGTATTTCTTCGAGTACCTGAAAGAAACAGACCTTCTCAAACAAGGCTGAGGTTCAATATAACTGAAAGATACTTTCGAATACTGCAGTCACACTTTCAGCCAAACACAATCACCAATTATTGCAATTTGCGCACAATACAATATTAACTTAAAAGCAGCCTCTAAGAATAACAATTCATAAAAATTAGATAGAGTAAAATGTTAGCAGCACAACAGATTTGTGAGGGATTTGGAGGATGGGGAAAAGCAGGACACATGGTAAAAGAAAGCTCAACAGAGGAATTTATTGTTAGAGACAAGATAAATTTCATTTAAGTTTGTAAATGGGACTTCAGCTGTATGGCTGGAAGAAACTTGACCAAATACATTCTTATGTTAAGTTCAGCGTGGGTCACAGTTAAAGAGAATTTCCAAGCCAAAGAATCTTTACCATCTTACCTAGAGGAGGATGAGGAGGGGTATGATAATGACAGTTGAGACCTCCTTGCTCGGGCAGCAGCTCTTGCTTTTGCCCGTAAGGAACTGGGAATATAGTGCATTATTATGAAAGTAAAACGGAATTTATAAATGGGAAAAAGACTGGGTAAACTATCTAAGATCTAAGGCACATGAAGATGGAAGAATTAAAGCTGAATTTATATACAGATAAAGTGAGTTTTGTTTCCACCACCAGATAATTATTTAATTGCTAAATATATTTCTATATATATACCTTGTAGTGCTTGGTGAAACAGCAGCTGTTGAAGGCAATGCTAGCTGCTCCTGGTATCTACCATTTGATCTCCCAGTCACAGCAGCCACACCAACAGTACCAGTTTTTTGCTCCCATTCACGGTTGAACATAGGTGCTTCCTCTGCAGCAATGAAGAAACATAGCAAGTGAACTTGGAACAATAAAGCTGATAAGGGATAAAGGAAAAGAAATCACACAAACCTTCATCCAGGTTGACAAGATCTTCTCGTTGTTCTTCCTCACCAGTGTAGACATTTTTCTCACGTTCAACTATGTGTGCCCTGTCACCAATATGGTGCCCAATAGCCATCTTCTTCAGCCCAGTGCGAGAATCACATACAGTTTTCTTTGTCTCCTTAATGCCTCCAGGACCAGAACGAGTAGTCGATGATGCTTGATATACCTGTTAATTTAAAAATATAATTTTAAAAACAATAAAACTTAAGATTGAACCAGACTTTGAGATATAAAACAGTATTCCCACAAGGAAGCCAATGACTTACTTGAGGTTGTCCATGAGGCCCATTGCTCATAGTCATTACAGTGCTGCTACTATATGAATGACAATTAGGGTCATTTGAAACACTAGACTGTAAAGACATACAAGAGATAAGTATAGCTAAACAAAAATCATATTTATAGCTAAACAAAAATCATATAGACGTTACAAACTAATTTTTGGAGCTTACCATGTTGTCAAACAGGCGGTTCATGTTTGGAAAGCCCATCATTCCTCCGCCAAACATTCCGCCACCAAAGAGTCCTCCTCCGAACATGTTTCCAAAGGGTGAAATTTGATTCATTTGGCTGACTTGATTTGAACGTACTCTAGAGCCTTGGTTGATGGCACGATGACCTCCCATCATACCTCCCATCATGCCACCCATCATACCAAATGGATCACTAAACATAGAATTGATCATGTTGTCCATCTGACGCATGGATCTAGGAACAAAACCAAAACAAAAACATTTAGTCAAAAAATACAAGGTTAGGAGCGGAAACGATACAAATAGGAGCAGTCATAGAATACATTTTTAAGTATAGATTGGTAAAGTTTATGCGAAGATAACAATAGGATAAGGTGAGTGCGGTATCAAACAGTCGATAGGAATAGAAACATGGAATGTCTGGAAACGAACAGTCTGGAAAGTCGTCTTGACATCAACATGAATTTCCATTGCGTAACTTACCCATAAACAGGATCGTCATCAGGCATCATTTTGGAGCTGCTCAAAAGCAAATTTCGCCCTGCAAAATTGTGAAAGAAACTATCTGAAAGCCAAACCAAACTAAAGAAACTTGCGTATTTTCTGAAACTCGTCTGCCGAAACAGGATTGGTTGTGGTTGTCTCTTGTCTCCCAATTAAACGAAGAACAACGTGAAAAAGAAAAGGGAATACCAGTGCTGACAACATATGCACAAATAACGATCTGGCCTGCGCCAAAGGTGACAACAAAAATATGCGTCTTATCAAGAATAAATAATACTAGAAGTAGTCATTTGTCAAAGAGGAAATTTCATCTCAAAACTGAAGAAACGTTTCGGTGAAATATCAAGGCTGTCGTGCTGAGGCCTGGACCCATGAGAGGTCGAGAGTCGAGAGGGAATGCCTTTCCCGATGATTCTGGAAGGTCCTATAGGGTTCTATTCTAGTCTAGTTCTAATAGAGAGACCAATCAAGAGCAGAGCTCCTCAGCTCCTCAAGCATTTTTTCGTAGATGCTAGAACCTTGTCGACCACTTTTACCTTTACCAGAGATAACTATAGTTCCTATCTCTGACTTTACTTACAACAGGCATGGGTCATCTCATTGACTTTTGCTGACAAGTAGAAGTACAGGGAAGCAAAAAATGAACCTGAACAAGTTTCTTAAGGCTTTATTCCTTCACAACTGCAAATATCACCTTCACTGTCTAAATAGAGTCTTAAACTATAATCTCAAACACGAAAAAAACAAGGATTTCAGATTGAAGTTTGTTTGTCTATGAAAAATTACATATTCTGCACACATTGTTCCTCAGATCAACTTTTTAACCCTTCAGCTGAACTAGGATATCTATCATTTGTAAGTTGCTAAATGATACTGTGATGGTTGAGAGTACGTTAGGAGAGTTAATACACAGAAACGGAAAAAGAAGGAATGTAATGAGAGGGACAGAACTCACTTATCCTTTCCAACAAATGTAAACAAAGGATGACGGTACAATAAATGCTGAAAGAACTGAGTGACTTGTTGTTGCATAAATTTTGCATAGGAATACATATTAGGGGTACACTAATTTAAAAAATTTGGTACAAGCTTATGTAGTAGTCCTTATGAATATTATTATAGTAGGTATACTTTTTCTTGATACAGAATGTTTAAGGACATGATGCTTCTGTAGTGGTCCATACTGATTTTGTTTTTAGCAGAAAGAGGCCAGATAACATTTGACAATCAATCTTTTTTTAAGACTTCTCAGTTTGTTTGTTTTTAGATATAATATGAAATGCCCTCTTGAATAGTTTAATTTTAAAGTATTGTCTACATGGGCAATAATTCAAGGTACAAATTACAATAGTTAAAGAAATACTAGCGCTAACACTGCAGCAATATCAGATAATACTTTGATTAAATCTATCTGAATAATTAATCGTCTGATCCAGAAGACATAAGAGGGTAAGTTACAAATACTTAAATATACCAGAAATACAATCACGCCAAATTGAATTTTTGAAAAATTGAAATAGAGACAGTTATGATAAAAGAAAGTTAGGATAAATAAAATGAAAATGAACCCAAGTAGATATCTTCATACAGTTCCAGTCAGCAAGTTACTATGTCAGTGCTGATACTGTACAACAGAGCAGTGGTTGCAATTGGGAAAAGGTAACTCATGGTCAAAGAACATAGCAGTACCAACAAATTGCCGCTATTGGTTCAGTCAATTAGAAACACTAGATAAAACAAGTAACAATACAAGATTTAACAAGCAAAGAAAACAAATAACATCAATCACAAGTGAAATTTATCAATTTCTATACGCTCAGACGATACTTTCATTAGTTCACAATACCATGAGTCTTTCTGGACTAGAAGCATAATGAATTGCAAAGTATGAAAACTGGTTGCAAACAATTTTTTTCATTTTCTTTAATACAAAAAATGTAGATTAGATTACAAAGGGCTAAACAAAATCTACAGTTTCCAAATGCAGTGAGATAAAAACATACCGCAAAAACTTTAATTCAGAAAAAAATAAAGAGAAAATAATAACAACATAGATTTTAATTATTATGCAAGTCAAGACTAGTTTAATATAAAATATCTAAGAAAAAAAAGAACAAAAAAAACAAACAAAACGGCCAATGAGCAAGACATAAAAATAGGGAGCATAATGTGAATTAGACTGAGGACACTAAAAAGTTGTAGCCAACTTAACCCATCTTAAACAAACTTGTTTGGCACAAAAAAAAAGAAGAAAAAGTCTAGTTCTTGAGACCAGATTATGTTACTCTGCTAACAAAGGGTAATGGCTGAAAATTTACAAAACATGACATCAAACACTTTGAAATTATTAAGTACCATAAGTATTACAAAGAAATGTTACGCATGAATTAGTTAACACAATTTGACTTCACAGAGACGCCTCATAATGGCACCACCATAATTAATTACACTAACAGAAAATAAAACAGAGCTATTCATCATTCATTCTAATGAGCAGAAAAAAAGAACAAATAATGAAATGAAAGGCACGTCTAGTGATCCAACAGGATTGGACATCCAGAAGCAATGTCACAGCTATATACTGATGAGAAAGATTAATTTGATATTTAACAATAACACTGTGCTGGAAGGCAAAAAGAGTAAGAATGCTAAAATTTCAGATACAAACGCTTGGGAGTTCTTATACAAAACAATGACACTCAAGAAAGTGCTTGTTAACAAATTTTACACATATAAAAGGATAAAAATGAAACAAGATAGAATAGTTTGCCAAAAAGTAGGTATTCATTTGCACCTTTTCACCACGGCAAGTATTAACACTGATAAATGGAACGATCATTCAGCTGAAACAATTTGAGCACATTTCACGGTCACATAACAATCACAAACGTGAATTCACACAAAAGCGTAATTTACTATTTTAAGTCACTTTACATTATCACAAGGAACGGGCATGCACATTTACACGACCACATAAGATATTTCTGTGGCTTTGTTGATCAAGGAAGATAAATATTAATTGAAAACTATTTGAACTTTGAATATGCCCTAATAACAACAATAATAACTTGAATTAAACAGCTGTCCTAACCTACAGGCTATCACAGATACTTGACATTGTTCTCAATTATCACCATATACTGCGGTTCCTTAATGATAAGAGTATAATTTACAGTTGAAAACATTATGAGATCTTACTAAATGACACTGAATCTCTAAACATAGAAGTACATTAAGAAGTTTTAGGATTGACTCTAGAGAAAGTCTTCTGGACTAGCTTGAATTGTCCACTAAACCAGACAATAAAACTATCCATGGATAAAAGACAAAGAAGTCTTTTCAGACGGCTAAGTGAACTTATCGCTTGCCCCACCAAGCAAGTGAGGCAAGCTGACTCCATCACCTAGACTCTGATATTTCTACTAGAACCCACGTGTAGAGTTTGTTCAGTTTTAGATCTTGACGTTGATACTGTAAGTTGTTAAGTCCATCGATATTGAAGCGTTTATTGCCATTATACAAGAATTCATGCCTGTAAATAAGTTTCAAAAATTAACTAGAACATTAAATAAAGAATTGATTGAAAGAAAGAAAAAAATTACCATTACCGTTTAGGATTTGCAGGTTGTCGTCTGTGAGGGAGCATTTTATATCGAGCTATATTTGCTGCGTAACGGGAAATGTGATAGTCATGGTACTTCAGACGATTTGCCATATCGTCATCTTCACCACCCCAACCCCAAAATTTGTTGCTGAATCCATTCACAGTTTTAAATTGGTCCAGTGTCAGTGCACTGACTCCACCAAAAATGTCTTTATACGGTAACCTTAATACATCAAAAATAAAGAATAGACAGTCAGAACATAGTACATTTGATATGAATGAAAGGAGTCATTATTATACTTACTTATACTTTAAAGTGCTAACAGCTACAGACATATGACGAGGCTGTTCTGGGCATGTGTACAAGTTGCGGTCATCTTCAGGTAAAAGATCCACATCATGAAAAATAAAGCAGTCATACTGATGTAATTTCTGGGCCTCAACAAATCCTATATTCATGAGCATAGCACGATTAAAGGGCCCATATCCTGAAACAACAAAACAAAGTTGAAGTCAATTAAAAGTCAAATTTGTTTTATTACGAAACTCTTTTCAAACTTTTAGAGTAGAAGTAAACTTTTAAAAATATTACCTGCTTGCTCCACAATTATGATTCCATATTCTAGCTGTTGTTTTTGGAGAAATGGATGCATATGATAGAGAAAAGCAGTCAGCTGAGACGCTCTATCTCGATAAGGTATGATAAGAGCAACACGGCTGCGAGCTTGGCAATTAGGAGGTTTGTAATGTCCTCCTGGATCCAAATTATCAAAAAGAAGTTCTAACTGTTCCATGGAATGTGCAACATCACTAATCTCTACAGGCCCTCTGAGATCAGTTGGGATCAGAGGACAAAGAGGAAGAGTGGGTATGGTGGGGTTTTTAGATTCAGTTCTGTTCTTAATTGTCATATTGCTGGGATCTGTGATCAAATTTTGAGAAATAAATGTTCCCAAGGTTGGCCCAGCATTATTTGCTGAAAGGTTCATCAATAACAATGCTGAAGTGGAGCTGTTAGATGAGTTGTTCCGGAGTGCACTGTGCCAGCTAATTGGATGTCCCAAATGTGCACCTCCATTACCATGAATATAAAATAGTGTCTCATGTCTATAAACATGAAATGTTCCGCTGAGCATATATTGTAGACCAACAAGCACCAGGCCTATGCAAATAATCAATTTGAAAAGTGGTGCTCTTATCCATGGTTGAGGGGACATGCCTGAAACTGATGATAAGATAGATAGACAGGTAACAGATAACTCACAAACCCAATCAAAGATAACAATATTGATATGGGGATGAACATATATGGTGCTCATACAAGTGGTGGCATTTCGTGAGTAAACAGGAAAATGTGATCAACATTTGTACAACAAAGAGATAAATTTAAATGTGAACGCTGTTCAAATAAGCAAACAATGCAAAAACGACATAAACGACCTAATATCAGCTGATTTTTTCTATACGACAGTCAACTGAGGTTAGGATAAGAACACGGCAGGAAAACTTGTACAATAAAGGTCAAAAAGGCCTGAAAGGAGATCTAGTGTCTGTTAAGAAAAGGAAAAATTGCAAATAATCTCTACGTTGTTACAAATATCGCAATTTTTAAGAATGTAAGGTGCCAAAAAAACAAAAAAATAAAGTAAATGTGAGAGACAGGGACCGCACATAAGTTGACAATACTTACGAGAATATTGAAAAGGAACTGTCGTCTCGTTCAAAACCTCTGAGCAAACATCGATGGTATCATCAGTAGAGAGGCGTATAACAAATTGAGGCCTTATTTGTTATTATTTGTCCCGCACAACAAGGGGGAGGTTACTCAGACGAGACGAGGAAGAGGGAGGCACAGACAGAACAGAAGCAGTGACGTCACGAGCAGAAGTACCCCCCCCCCACCTTTTCCCCTTTTCGCACCCAGGGTTCGGGGTTCGGAACGAAAAAACCAGAGACCAAGCAGAGTCGAAAAACACGAGTGAATTTCTACTTAAAATTTCACTTCAGGTTGTTGACGTCTACTGATTTCGAACGAACCTGTACTGTACTCTTTTCTTTCTTTTGTGGCTTGGCTTGGCATGAAAAAAATCACGCGAACGGTGCATTTTTTGAATAATCATGTGCATGGAAGACCTCTGGCGAAATTTCAGCGTCGTGCGATAGGTGAAAAAAATGTCAGCTCGGCAAACATGAACCCACGCGTGCATTGTACTGCCTCGACACAGGAGTTGATCTCAATTTCGAAATATACTATATAGTATTGGCATAATAATGCATTTATTCATCAAAATAAAATAAAAATCACAGTCCATCAGTTGTCAGTGAGATACATACTTACAAATACGTCAAATATATTTACAATTATACATAGACATTAAAAATAAAATAAGTCTTTGGGTTCCAAGAAGTGTTGCAGAGTTCTTTGCACACTTTTATGGTCATACGTCATACACACTCTCTTGGTCTAGGTAGGTACTACAATTTGGCGAAATCTTTGCGAACGGGCGCATCGTTTTTCGTATCACAGGGATGAGATAGGTGGGCGTACAGGTGTCCCCACAGTGAACGTTCCACGCGGTAAGGCTAAGGCTATTGAGAGCGCCTGCTGAGCGCTGGGTAGGCCAACCCGCCAAGCAGCTGTGCGGAGACGGTGGCCCGCCCACCCAGAGGCTCCGAGCAAGCAGAACGTTTGGCGCCCAATGTCCCCTCGCATCACGCCACGGGAAGGTCATTGCGTGGACAACTTCAAAGGGGGATTAGGCGGTGACTGCCCCTCAAGCCAGGGCTAGAGCCAGGCAAACCAACGTCGACAGCAGGGACGGCCACCACGGCGTGGGGGTCGCCGCAGCGGCGTGCGCGAGCGCCGGCTCCTCGCGGAGCAGCCCCGGCCAGGTCGCCGTCGAGGCCGCGGTGCGCGGCCCGCGCAGGGGCGCGCCCGCCTGCGCCGGCTCGATCAGCACGTTGTAGCGCAGGTCGGGGCGCGCGGGGTCCGAGAGCACCCACACCTGCCGGGGCTCCGGGGTGCGCCGGCGGCTCGAGGCTGGGGCCGACACCCGCATGATGAACTCGCTCAGAGTGCCGGGCCGCGCGGGGGCGACGGGAGGAGGCGGGGGCGGAGCAGGGGTGGAAGGGGCCGTCGCCTGAGAGCTCGGAAGCTCCACTTTGTCACCCGCGTCGCTTTGGGTCGTGGTGATATCCTCGCCATTCCGGGCGGTGACGGCGCTGTCGTAGCGGAACTTGTCGCCCATCGCCGCCGCCTCCTCGTCGTCCTGCACGAGCAACAGATCAGTGGTGGCGTCCTCCTGAATGCCTTCCACGACCGTAGTCACTTCATCGGCGCTGTCGGCATCCGTGGCGGAGGCAGCCGCTGTCGAAATGGGTGGTGGTGTGGTGCTTGTCGACGGGTTGGTGGACGGCGCGGTGGGCTTTTTGGCGTTCGAAAGCGGCCCGAGCACTCTGGCGATGTGATTCCCACCCGTCATGTCCACGTCCACGTCCTCGTTGGTGTCCACGCCAGAGTCGCCCATCCAGCTGTTGCTGCCCCAGTCGCCACACTGAGGGAACCCTCGCGGGACGGGGGGCATGTCCTCGTGCTCGCCGACCTTCACGACGAGGGCCATCCCCAGTTCGACGTGGAACTCGATGTGGCAGTGGAACAGCCAGTATCCTGCAGACGAAAGGCGACATTTTTAAAGACCGAGGAAAAATAGGCGCGTTGAGGCCTGTCTGCGGAGAAAAGCAACTCAACACTCACCAGGATTGTCGGCATGCACTCTAAGGACGGTGTAGCCGCCGTCGGGAACGGTGACGGTGTCCTTGGTGGGCGGGTCCACCAGGTTCTTGGCAATGAGGCCCTCCGCGTCGAGGCGCTGCACCTCGCTCACTGTCGTGCTGTTGCCGAGCCGCTCCAGCGCCACGACGCGGAAGGCATGCCCGTGGAGGTGGAAGGGGTGGTTGGCGTCGTAGCGGACCCCTTGGTCGACGAGGACGATCTCCAGGACGCCCCCCAGCGGCACCCGCACCACGTGCGTGCACTCGCAGTACTCGCGGCCGCAGTCGCGGCCCTGGGCGCTCAGCGAGGTCTCGTTGCACAGCGCGGGCGAGTGCAGCGGCGAGTCCAGCCGGTCGCGGCCGGACAGCAGCGGGAAGGCGGGGAGGCTCAGCGAGATGTGGTTCAACTGCGGCGTGAAGACGCGGTGCGGCGACGCGGGCACTGCAACCACACGACGGTGAGAGCGAGCTCCAATTGTTTTCAATAAACTTCCCTTTAGGCAAGTTTTTACATTTTAGTTGTGATTGCCCCTACCCTTACCTTGAGCTATGCCGTACAGGCCGGCGCGGTGAATGTGCGGGTTGTCGACGGCGTAGAAGTCGTAGGAGACGAAGAGCTGCACGTCGGCCTCGGGTTTCAGAGCGGGGTCGTCGAGCGGGGCGGGCAGCAGGCCACCGGGCAGAGACTGCAGCTCTGCCGCGGTGATGGTGTTCGGGTCGTCCGAGCCTCGGTTCAACGGGTTCACCTGCAGGTTCGATACGTGACTTCAATGAACAACCACTCGCAAGACGTCGAGAGCATTCGGCGCCCCGTTTGAAGCCGCCGGGTTCCTTACCTGGAGGCCTCCCGAGAGTCCGGGGTGCACGTCGTAGCTGGGCGGTGCGCCTGCGGGGTCCAGGGTGGGGTCGGCGCCCTCGTACCGCAGGATGGCAGCCTCGTGGGCGCGGCGAGGGCCGCAGTCCAGGAGGCCGTGGAGCCGCATCCAGTAGCTGTCGACGGGCTGGTCAGCCTCCACCACGACGTCCCAGCGCTCACCCGCGTAGCTCACGAGCGTGTTTACTGGAAGGACGGATGGGAGTTGAAAGAAACGGCAACGGGGTTGTTCTCTCAGGGGGCTAAGCTCTGGTGCTCAAAGGGGTGGGGACTTACCTCGAACAGGCTTCACGTCGGCCCCATCACTGGCGATCACCAGCAAGGTGTGGTTGTCGACAGAGAGCTCGAGGGGGCAGTTTAGGAAACCGGCGTTTACGAGTCGGAAGCGGTAGCGAAGACCCTGTGTTTGGAATGTCATCGTCAAAAACCGGTCCCTTTTTGGTTCAATGGTACGGTGCACGTTTTCTCTATCCTACTTCAGATATTGCGCCATTTATTCACGCATTGATATGTTTATTCGATTTTGAGTCAATCCCCGTCCTACCACCTCAGTGCCGGAATACTATGGACGAAAGCTCACCTGCTTGACTTGGAACACCTCTCTCGGCGTGGTGGTCGTGACCGCGCCGTCTGCCGAGCGGAACACCCGGGAGACACCCTTGCCGTTGATGAGTACCGAGTCGGCCTTGTTGTCGTCACCGGCGTGGTGGTGCGCCAGGAACTTGGAGGCGGCCGGCGTGTGTGTCCAGTCCCACACCAGGACCCCGTGCTCCGGGACGTCCACGTCGTACAGCGCGCCGTGCGGGTCGAGGACCTTGGGCACGCGTACGGTGAGGAGCCCGACGGCGCCGTCCGCTCGCTGGCAGCCTGTGAGTCACACGTTGGGGGGTGATTACCGGGTCAGCGGCAGCGTACTCGGGAGTGCCGCGAGGAACTCGTCGGCGAGGGGAGCACTCACCGGTGTGAGAGTGCCAGAAGTGAGTGCCGGGGGTGTCGGCGCGGAACGAGTAGCGGAAGGACGAGTGCGGCTGCACGGGGCACTGCGTCACGAAGGGCACGCCGTCCATGTAGGGGGTGCCGCGCTGCTGCATGCCGTGCCAGTGCACCGACGTGCTCTGCTCCGGCATGTGGTTGTGCACCGTCACCTCCAGGCGGTCGCCCACGCACACCTGCACACCAATTCCGTTGATTAAACTCTCCCCTTCTTTGTTGGACATCCGAAAAATGTTGACATCAGCCCAACACTGGAAACCCAAGTGTGTGAATGTCGCACACTTGTAGGTGTGTTAATTTCCATTCGTAGACTTGTGAACATTTAAGTGGACACTTGAGGAAATTCACTCACCTATAGGTGTGCGACATTCACACACTTGGGTTTTTAGTGCACCATCGAGACCCCTGAACATGCTCATGACCAACCTGCAGGCTGGGGCCGGGCATCATGCGGTTGATGACGACCAGGGCCCTGGACACGCCGTCGGCCGCGATGCAGTCGGGGCGCGCGCAGTCGGTGGCGTTCCAGGGGCAGCCGTAGCACGCCTTGCTCATGGAGTGGTAGTTCTCGACGAGGAAGTCGTAGCGGCACGTCAGGGGGCGGGCGCCGGCGACGCACGGCCGCGCGCAGGGGTGGGCGCCGCCCTGGAGCAGGACGCCGGCGGCGGGGGACGCGCCGACCAGCAGAGCCGTGGCGACCACCGCGAGCAGAGCGTGCCGCATCCTCCTGAAACCGCACGGCAACACTTATGAGCACAAGCACTCGGACACTCCCTAAAAACGTTTTACAGATTTTGTCCACGCTCGGCGTTACGAGATGAGACAACTTAATCATGTTTGGCAACGTTCCCTTATTTTACACAGCACTTCAAAATGCAAACGCAAACTCACCAACACCAACGCTCTTCCGCACTAGTCCACATCTTATTTCGGCCCCGTCCGTACAGAAAGCTCGATAACAATATTAACAACTGGTGTCGGCGTGCAGCAAGGTGCGGGTCGCGCAGGTCACCGGGAGACTCGGTCAGGGTCGCGGTCGTGGATGCCGGCTGCTGGTGCTGCTGGTGCTGCTGGTGCACGAGCGACTCCGCTGTTCTCGTCGCCGGCCGGCTCCGGTGCGAATGGAGCAGAGTGAGGAGGCGCCCGGGGATAAGGCGGTCCGGCTCCGCCGTCCGGAGAGGATGCCGATGACGTATGCCCCGCGCCCGGCAGAGCCCGGCGATCCCCGGCCCGCCCGCCCGGCCCGCACCCCGCACCACCCCGCGCCGCCGCCGCCCTCCCGCTCTCCGCCGCCACTGGTGACGTCTGGGCCCGCCAGGTGAGTGGCGGCGGCTGAGGGGTGGTGAAGCTGGGCTGAGTCCATCGGAAAGCCCGAAATTGGAAATTGGCCGACTGCGGCGGCGGGAGGAAGAACATTTCTCAAGGCCGCGCTACTCTCGTTGGCCAAATTGCCTACCTTTCTGGAGGCTCATGAGAACTTATGCCCCCCCCCTCTATCCCCACCCTCAGACTGTCCGCAGCACGTCCTCGAGCACGACCGCAGGCTCCCCGAGCGACCCTCTCCAGGGCTCGCGGGTGGCGGACTAACCCGTTCGGGATTCCCCTGCCCTGCGGAGGAGAAGAGGCGGCAGTGACATGACACCTGCCGGGCAAGCCGGGCCGGGAGAGGCCAGTGCAGAGATGTAGTACAGTACTGCCGACCTGCGACTGGTCCATTCTATTATTACTCCAAGGAGAGTCTCTCTTAAAGTGCGATTAGCTCCACCAAGACGGCCTGGATGCTGGTTGGCAACAGTGTCCCGGGACGGCGGGGCCGCAGTCACCGCAGCCGTCACCTCCCCGTCGATGAATGGGATTGGATTTCTCATCCGCGGCAGAAGAAAGTCGCGGACGCGCGCGATTGAAGTAGTTGAGGCTGCGGGGCTTTTGGCCGGCGTCCAAATGGGCGGTGAGCACGAGACAGCGGGTGGAGCAGCAGAACAGGTTCATCGTCGCAGAGCAGAAGAGTTTCCTCCTGGACTGGACCCCGGCGATGAGGCATCCGAGCCGCGCCCCCAGGATGGGGTTCCCCTCGCCCGGCCCATGGCGCCGGGGGGCAACGGCGCGTACACGCACACTGCATCACGTGCATCACGTGCCCCTCGCCCTCACCCCGCCCCCGCCCTCGCCCGCGTCACCTTTCCCCGCCTCGCTAAACCTGGCCCCGCTCCGCCCGGCCCCGCCCGACGACCCCGCCCATATTGACGCACTGTACCACTGACTACTGGCTTGTACCGATAATTCGGGGGGCTGGCGAATGTGGGCAGTGAAAGGGAAGATGAATGGAGATACGTCTGCGAAAGACGTCACGGCGGTCGACGCCGTCATCGCCGGACTCGGAAGAGAATAGGAGCGCCGCGAAGATGAAAGACTGGATTGTCCAAAAGAGTTACTCTGTCATGGGTCCGGGGACTTCCGCGCGGAGAGCTCGGCGACGCGGGGGGTTTTGTTATGATTTGGTGGAGCGGTCTGCCCCGGAGCCGGCGATCGGATGACGTCATCAGGAACCCCGCGACGACGGACTGGGACGGGGGTGGGGGGAGGGGGAAGCTAGGTGGCGCGGGCGGGGAGGAGCGTACGCGTGGTGGGGCTGGAGCGCCGCCGCAGGAGGGTCGACGTAGCGCCCCGTGTCGGTCGACGCCGAGCCTCATTGCCTATCTGCTCACTGCCCGGCGGCCGAGCTGGCGGCCGAGCAGGGCCTGCCCCGCCCCGGCCACTATAATAGATCCGTAAAAATGTGACGTCAATCTGCTCGACCGTAACGCATGGGCTGCCTCTCTGCCATAGTATGTACGCGCGTAGTAGGCAATCCGCGCCTGTGGACGATAAGAGGAAATGCTCCCTTTTCCTCTCCTCACAGGCCTGTTGCTGCTGGTCCTCGTCATAGCGGATATGACGGAGACGGGGGTGATAGCGCAGGAGCAGTGCACCCAGGAAAGTGTGTTATTGACTCATGATAACTTTCTAGATTCAACGCAACCTCTCTGCACTGGTCTGGAGAGGTCGTATATATTTTAAATATTTATTTGAATCAAGAAAATACTTTTCTGTGTGCGGGATGAATAATACTCCAATTATGACTATCCATCTATTAGTAATTACTCAAGCAACGAAACTTTTAGAAAATCGAGATATTTTTTTAAACGTTTCGTTCAACGTGCGGACTTGTCCCGTGTTTTCGCGGATGTTTTCCCCGGTGTAACAAAGACGTGCGTTAATTTACGTCCCAAATCATTGAAGCTAAATTTGACGACGTTTTTCCATCAAGGTTGAGATTTTGTTGGACGTATAATTCCTGGTCCCGCGACCCTTATATACTTGGCGTGAGAGAAGCTCGTGCTAATAAACGCGTGTGTGTGGCTCGTGGCTCACGGCTCCACCCGCGTCCGCGCCCGGCTCCTGTTGCTGATAATGAAACGCCTCGACATCCACGACGAGCAACACGTGACTCTAATTGCACGCAGCGTGAAAAGCGCCGGCCGAGACTCTCAAAGAGGGTCGAAGTGCGCGCCGGGAAAACTCGTTGTCGGGCGGGAGTAATTATATTGGGGTCGAACGATGTGGAGACGACGACGCCCGGGAAGATCACCTTGATGGTGATGACTTCGATGATGATGCACAAGCTCGATGCAGAGGATGCGTGCTGACGCTGACTCTATGTGTGCCGGACGAATGATTTGCCATCGTTACGATCGGATACCGCGGGAACGTCTAAGCTCGACGAGTACGAGTAGCCGATCTGTCGAGACGCCGCCTTGATTGATGGTCGCGGGGGGCGAGAGTTTACACCTGCGAGTCATGGCAAAGACAAAAGGACGGAAGTTTTTCTCTCCTTTGGTGTACTTTCTATCGGAATGGTAATCCTGAGCGGGGTGGGGGAAAAATCCAACCCCCGGCGGGCGAGAGCCTCCCTGGAGTGGAGCGACAATCCACCGGCCAAGGTGAGGGATTCTACACTAAAGTGTTCGGCTCATCTGCAGCGGTCGTGAGCTGAAACGATCTGTTTCTGGGTAATCAGCGATTTGAGGTCATGAATATACAACGCCCCGTGCAGCCGCGAGGCGCGAGCACCGGATGCGTTTCCGTCAGATTCCTTGTTCTGTTCCCGCGCGCCGGGCCGAGCCGGGCTGAGCACTCGTGTCGTGTCGCGGACCCGGCCCGGCCGGGCCCCACCCCCACGTGTACGGCGGCGTGGCGCTCAAGAAGTAGTGTCCGTACAGTAAAACGCCTCCCGGAAAGACGCAAAATTTTTGATTCCCTGAGCGTTGTTGGCGGGGAAGCCCTCGGCGCCCGGGGATGCGACGACGCCGGCCGGCCAGCGGCGGCGGGACGGAAGGAACCTCCCCGCGATTCCGCTGAATAACCGCGCCGGTCGCCACGCCCGGCTGCAAGCTTGTTGCCGTGCCCGTGCCGCCGGCGCTACCTCGCCTCGAAACTTTTCCGTCGTCCAGACGACGGTCGTGCTGCATATAGTGCCTCAAAGCAAAAGAAAACGACAAGAAAAAACACAAAACTCGAACCGATCGAATTATCGACGGTGCCCGCTCA